TTATATATAATTATATTTTACTATTGATTAATGAAATTTGTAACCCAGGACTACTAAGATCAGTTGGCATAGAAAGAACTAATTCTGCAGGCTCCTGGCTAGGCTAGAGTACAAAGGAATCTGCTATATACAAGTCACCGTGTGTACCTGTTAAGGCATACCTAACAACAGGTAACTATAATTTGTAAGCAATAATAATTACCTTCTCAATGCACCGTCGGAGTGTGTTGATATTCCTGACCCACCAACCAATACCCATAGCTCTTAGTTCAGACCACTGTGGGTCTCCCTTCTGGATAGCAGGAATCATATTGATCAACTCCTCCTCAGCCTCAGAATGAAAAGCCCATGCAAAATGGCAGGTAGATAGGCCTAAACAACAGTGTAAGATAATAAAATTCAGCAGATTGAGACTTGTTAATAAGCAAATGGATTATGTCAGAGATGCAAAGTGGGATCTCCAACCCAAGAGCTAGGTAGATCTGAGAGAGGCTGTTTCCCTCAACAGGAAGTAGAGCTGCTAAAGGAACAGCTGAAATATCTTTTTGCTCACTAGGGATGTCCTCTCCTCAGTGCTTCTTCCATCATTTTTCAGTACCCCATTCATATCCGTATTAGAGTTATATGGTGAAAGACTGAAGGAAAAGTATTCTGTTATTGCAGAGGCAGACCCATTCTGGGCCAGAAACCTTTCTGTCTGCTGCTTAGGTGGTAACTGCTTTTCTTTCCTGCATTTCACAATAGCATTTGCTCAGATTGAGCAAGAGAAAAAACTTGCTGTGCTGAAAATAATAAAATAATCTTTAAGGTAAGATAAAGCCATGCTCGTGTAAAGCAGTATCTTAATTTCTCCAGCAGAGACAACAAAATATATATACAAACTATATGTTATCTGGTTGGGCAACTTACTCATGCCTCAAACTGAATGGGGCGGAATCTTTCTTCTGTTCTAGAGCTATACTGGTTTTGCTCTTCACGGCGCATGCAGGGAAGCCTATACTAAGCCTTTTCAAAATAAGGGCCTTAATGGAATAGCTATAATCTGAAACGAATATGCAGGTAATAGAAATATGGTATTATAAACCAAACATAACCAGATCCTGTCAGCTTAGGTGGATTAAATGAAAGAAATACTTCGCTTTATGAAATACCTTGGTGAAGCAGCTGAACTCGATACAGAGGTGGGAGTGATGTCAGAAGGCAGGTGTGCAAGCGCATAGCCAACAAATATCGTAAACCACATTCATCTAAGGTATCTCTTCCTGTGAAATATAAAATTTTGACTTTAGAACATGCAGGTGACTACAAGAGGCATATATACAACTTATACATTCCTCATGCTGCATATGATGCTTCTAAATTTGCCGAGAACCTGAACTACAAGTTTTTTATTATGTATGAAACATAAGTAGATATTTATATTAAGTGTTTTTCTTTCTTACTGTATCTAAGCTGAATAACTGATGCTAGCTTTGAGCTTTGTTATCCCAAAATACCCAAAGACTAAGTTTACCTTTGCTAAGAAGAACAGGAATGTTAATTTAATAATGTCAGTTACTAACCTGAGTAATTCTTATCTCTGTTCTCATCTAGTTCAGTGCTTGTCATGGCCACAGTGTCTGCCAAAGCTACAAGAAACATCTGCTCCAGTCGAGTGAGGCCTGGCAGACTTGAGTGCATCAGGTGGCTTGAAAGGACACTAGCATGTTCTCGGCCAAAGTAGGTTGGACCGTACTGTGACAGATTAATAACTTTGGATTTACTCTCCCTCTTTTCAGGCTCAAAATCAGTAAAGTCTTCAGTTGTAACAGGCTGAATCTGGAATAGATCTGAGTACTGATCATCTGTTTTTCTCTTAGCATGATCTTCAGAGCCCTGAGGTATTTTAGAAGTTTCTTCAGAAACATATGTGGCATCTTGATCTGCAGCAAGCAGTGCATACAGTGGCAGTGGAGGAATTGAGTCTATCTCTGTGTAGTCTCGAGTACCGTCTTTTCCAGCTGTGATGGTATCCTTTGCAGTACTACCACTTACACTAATGGTGCGAGAAAGGTGGCGTTTAGGACCAGTTCCTTCTCCAGCTTCTGTGTCTTTAACTATTGCCACTTCTCCCGCAATACATTTAACTAAATGCGATAGAATGGCTTTGGCTCGGCGAACTTTACCCAGATCCATAAGTTCTAATAACTGAGTTGGATGATACTGGGGTAGAGTAGGTGAAAGAACATGAGCAGCTTCAAAAAGGCCACCATCCTGAATGACAGTTGGAGTGCCAAAAACATCATCCACAATACCTGCCCCATCAATTACACTGGTCTTCTTTGCTATCAAGCTTGTTTTGAGTGGATCTTGTGTTGCTGAGTCTTCAGTAGTAAAAACATCGCTTTCTCCATCACCAAACTTGACAGCATGTTTCCACTGGGCATAAACATGCATCTCACAGTCCATTCCCACTACCAGTATACCATCTCTCACCCAGGACAGAGAAACAGGCAGTGAAGGAGTGCCATCTACAGATGATACCAAATCAATTGATCTAAGCAACACCCACTTTGACTTTATACCTTGTTTTATGCTACCACCTAGTGGTAAAGTAATGACAGCTACTCCCTCTTTGCTGCTAGTTTGATCTGTCACAATTCCCGAAAGTCTTCCGTACATGAAGATGTTGGCGCCAACTCCAACTGTCAATATATGTGAACCATCTTCTTTTGATACCCAGTCTAAATGCACCAAATGCTTGATACTGGGCACCAGGTATTTGTCTTTATTCAAAAAAGCATCTGATTTACTGTAAACAAATAAATTACTATCTACACTGACCCTTGAATCAAGTACACTTCCAACCTTAACTAAATCATCCAGATGAATTGTCTGTTCCAAAACCCATTCTGATCCTCCTGTAGACTCACATTCAAGTATACAAACATGCATGGAAAATTCTTTGGAAACAAACCCATTATGCTGTATGGGTTGTTTGTATGCTACTGCAAGACGTCCTGTGTAAGAACAGCTAACGGCAACTGGCCTTCCTGCTATGCTCACTGTACTGCTGTTGTCTTCTCCTTCATCATTCATTAGAGGCCATTTTCTCCAATGATATGTTTCCCTTTCTTCATTTTTGCTGTTTAGGTCTGTCTCTACAGTACATCTCCAGAACCGCACTCTGTTGTCTGAACATGATGTTACTATCAAATAAGGTGCAAGGCAGACTGGGTATATTGATGAAGAACTCAGGTGACCTGAAGTTAGAGCAAACATATTTACTTTTAGTAATATAAAGCAGAATGCCTATATGAATAAGGCAGACATAACACTGTCTAACTACTGATAGAGAACTTTGCAACCTGGCATTATTTTTCTAATCTGGAGTTGGGGAAGGACAAATGTATTAAGACTGATAAGTCTCGCAGCTTGAACGTTACCAATTACCTGCTTTTCTGGTTGCTATTCAAAGAAGATAAGCTGGAACTGAACTAATTCAGAGAAGGGTTGTTAGAATAATGAAAGGAATACAAAGCCTTAATCAGATGAGATTCAAAAAGTTAAGATTAGGTTCATATAGCCTACCAAAATGAAACCTAAGAAGGGAGGAAAAAAAAAGGAAAAAAGACAGGAGAAGATATAGAAAGATAGACAAACAGAAGTTATAAGTGTATCAAGTAAAAAAAACCCACTATATACCCACCATGTTAATGCTGCTAGATGAACAGCATGTATAAATTGTTCATTAACAAATTAAGACTAGACGTTAAGTTTCAAACTATTAGAGCAGTAAGCGTCAGGAACAGCTTTCCTGTGGGGACTTGATATATTTATGAAAGGGTAACATGACATGGACACAATGATTTGAGAGCACCTTTTTAGCCCCGTGTTCCCTGTATCGGTAAATCAGAATGTGATAGGCTGAGGAGATACAATCCTGTAAGTTAGGAGGTAAATTAGTGGACCAACTGGGTAGAAAGAAAGAAAGGAAAAAAAAAAGGTTAAATTTACCTGCTGAAGGAGTTGCTCTTATTACTTCTACGCCAACAGGGAGATCCAGAGGTTTGCTATACACAAGTCTGGAGCTCAGAATGAGTTTACTAGCAGTCTGAAGATTAGCAATTGATGAAGACCGTGGAATGGGACCTATGCCAGGTGATACATCTGGAGAAGAATCCACAGTCTTTTGCTCAGGTACACTAAGCTTATTCTCTGCTGATGTAGCTTCAGCTGGTTTTGCTATGTATAAAAAAATTGTTTATAAGTAAGGACAAGGCATGAATATTCTATAATCAGATTTATTTTTATTAGCAGTGCTTAAGTTACACAGAAAATATTTATATGACATATGCAGGCTTATGACATATGTTAGTTTTATTGCATGCTGTGAACATTAATTTTAAGATACCCACAACATTCTGAAATACTGATAGTTTAAAATAAATAATCCAGTGCCTAAGTACATTACTCACCCTATCAACAATTTTTTATATTGCTATTGGTATAGAATGCAACTAACGTTTGTACAGAATCTTATTGCTTCTCTTGCGTTGATTAAATTATTCTGAAGATTCCTGACTTTGAGTCTTTTGCTTAACAAAGGTGACACAATTCGTTTTAAAATAAACCACCAAGCTTTAAATTTTATTTTAAATAATATGAAAGAAAAGTCTGTCTAAAGAAAATTACAGTTACTCACTCACCTAAACAGGCTTGCACAGATTTGAGATGAAGATGCCACATCTGAAGAACAGAGCAGCCATTACTATCTTTTTCAATTACTACTAGGTAGAACTTTTCTGAGAAAGGTGGTGGACGATACCCTGTAATTTAAACATGTTATCACTATCATGAGTTTACATTCAACAGAAATAATTTTCAATAACAGAAGACTCTCTAAAAATTATTGATACTAAAAAAACCCTGGTTTACTCTTTGAAAGAGCAAACAAAATATTCAAACAGTACCATTAATAACATTTTTGAATCAACATTTTGTTTGCTTATAGCTACAGAAGAATTACAAAAATAAAGAGATAGACTGACTTACAGACAACCTGAGTATCAGTGGCAAATCTAATTTATTAGATACATTTCCCTTCCCAGTCAGTTGGAACTATTTTGCTAGATTGTAAAGACTTTTCCACCTGCCTGCTTTCTTCCTTTTTATTTTAAAGCTTTAAGTTTACTACCAAATTCCCCAGTTACTTTCTGTTGTATTAGCTTAGAAGTCAGATACATTTACCTTATCATCTGGAACTACATATTGATGCAGAAAATACACTTCTGTTTATATATAACATTTAGCATTTTAAAAAATTGACTTTGTCATATAAGTTAAAACGTTTCACTCTAAGCAAATTAGAATGCCTTTGTTTAGTACCATTAGCATGTAAACAACAATTCATATGAGCAACATGAAACAGCCATTTTACTGAATCCTTTTTAATGAGAATCTGTAGAAAACTAGCATATGCTGACTAAGATTTCAGTATTCTTTAAGAATATTTTTAGTACTTACTTCATTCATATTAGTTATTTTTATGCTATACCTTGTGATGGCTGGAAAAATATCTCAGTTTCTTTCCCTTCCACATCTTCCTTATGTGGTTTGTATCCCAAAATGAAGTCTTCTTGAAAGACATGAAGCAATTGTGTGTTTGAGCCACACTGAAACATTAAGTAATAGTTATGCTTCCAGAACAGTATAGCAATGTTTTGTACTAATGCAATTATTTCTTTTGTGCAGTCTACCTACTGATGAGGATCACTTTCTTTTATAATGTTGAAAATTATTTTAATGCATCAGAAAAACTAAACGTTTTCCTCTTATATTAAGAACAGCATATTCTAGAACCTGTTGTTTGTATATTCAAATAATTTCACTGAGGTCTACCATGCTAGACAAATCCTATAATAACAGTTTTGCTGCAGTTATTGACAGATGAATTAGTATCTGATTGGGTTTTATTTCTTTAGATCTTGAATGACAGTAGCAAAAACACTTAGACTTTTAT